ATGCTCGATAACGCCCCTTGCCAGCAAAACGAACTGCAAAAAGTCAGACCTAGCAAGATCTGAAGAAGCTAGCAGTTCGCATGTATGTCTACTATTTTGCCAATCTTGTTGAATCCATGCCAAAATGGCCGCAGGTGGTATGGAAACAGAAAGGAACATGATCAAGTACTAATAGTGAGAAAAAACTACATTATTATTCATGTAAACAAACAATTCACGATTTATTCTCCTTCATACATTTTTGCGGGCACTATATATCTTAAAAATGCTAAAGACCGCACATAATAACAATAATGGAGATAATGATAATAATGATAGTGGAGGTGGTGGTGATGATTAAGATTATGATAATGATAATAACAATAATGAAAAACCAAGTAATTGGGTGTTTCAGAAAAAAACGTACCTATTCAAAAATGCAGTTGCTGTATTCTTTATTCTTTTATTATTTTCTTCGTAACTTAAGGACGGCAGAAAATAGTAATCCACATCTTGGTCTCTCACTTGGTTGCTTGATATCTACATGTGGTAAGAAGATGAAAGTTTATTGCCTAATCTTTTATAGTAAGACTAACAAAGTATATGTAATATGAAAGCTCTTTTTCCTTCTCGCAAAGAAAGAGTAGGAGAGAGAGAGAGAGAGAGAGAGAGAGATGCGATAGTTTAGAGAGATAGACAGGTAAGTATATATATATATATGTATATATATACATACATACACCCACACACACACACACACACACACACACACACACACATATATATATATATATATATATATATAGAGAGAGAGAGAGAGAGAGAGAGAGAGAGAGAAACAAATACATTAGTGTAATGTTTCTATAAACACATAATTTACACATATAATTTACAAATAAACGTAATTTCTATTAAATATCCCCACACATCCGTTCATTACACTGAACAAATCAAATTCGAAAGATTCATGCGTAAGGAGTTAATATCTACCCCTATACGTAAATTCATTAAAAAATCCCCTGAAATGCAAGGTTGGAGTGAATTCTGAATAAGAAAAAAACAAAACAAAAATATCATACCGTATAAGAGACACAGCGATATCTTTCTTGTTCTTGTCTGTTTCCGAGAATATAAAAGCATATTGTGTATCAACTATAACTTACTTTAATAGACATTCGAACGCCAGTGTTATAAAGAGGTGACTTTACGGAACAAACATTGTAAGCTCACCTGTTCTAAATCATGATAGCGACAGTGTTTATGAGTATTGACAATAATATCAGTGCTAATCGCGAGACCTTGTGTGTCATGTAGATCAACTTAAACATGGCAAGTTATATAAGAGAATAAGGTACAATAGTTCAATTTGCACCAGTTTTGTTTAAACTTAAGATGAAAAGAAAAGGGTAATGAATCAATCTGGATAATTTAAACAATATTATAGCCATTAAGGCAAGTTGAATGTCTAGTTTCGTTTATTACCACCTTTTTCTCGATATATAAATTTATATATGTATATATATGTGTGTGTGTGTGTGTGTATGTTTGAGTATGTGTGTGTGTGTTCATGCAAGGGTCATTCATGACTACATCGTAGACCAATTGTTGGCTAAGGTTCACGTGAAATTATTATTTATACTAAATAACAAATGCTATCATGGTGTGATGTAAATGCAACGAAACTTCTATAAAATTCTTGTATAACTCACTGGATTCATAGATGTATTGTATATTTTTATCATCATTACTGTTAGTAATGACAGTAAGGACAGTTAACACAGAACAATCTTTGATGATGTAAGATTCAGAGATCCCCGAATTTTTTCAAATCTAAAGACCAATCTTTGATGATGTAAGATTCAGAGATCCCCGAATTTTTCAAATTCTTAAGGAGAAAATAGATTAGTGGAACAATATATATATGTATAGATATACATACGTTTACATATACTCTTTGTAAAGATACAGTGTATATATATGTGTGCATATCTATACCCCCCTCACACACTTCATTACTTGGAAGATCACTTAAATTCGATTTTTTTTCTCTCTCTCGTGTCACTTACCGAGAAGGTATAGTTTACTTAAATGTACCAAAATTTGCTTCAGAAGGCTAATATATTGATTTCACTACATAAATACATAAATAAAAAGTCTTTCAAAAGTTTCACCTACTGAGGTCTATTCAAGCCATTGTTATTACTTAGACTCATTAGAATCATAGAAGTATCGAGGCCTGTATTCACGGGACTCGAAGGAAGCAGACTCATAGGAGTCGGGGAATCGAGCCTCGCCATCGTAGTTGACCTCAGCCACGTAGCCGGAGTCGCCGTCCACGAAGTACTTGACGGTCTGGAGGCGGCCGTCGGGAAGGTGCACGTAGTAGGATCCCTGAGTGTCTTCACCGTCACGGGCCTCCTGGTGTCCGTAGTTGTTGCCGGAGTCATCGTGATCGACAGCCCATTGGAAGTTGTATCTGGCTTCTCCAGATTCGTAGGATTCCTCAGAGGAGCGTCTCTGTTTCACATACCATAAAAGTATTGTTCACTGATAGTATTAATTGTGAATTCAGGAAATCAACAAGGTGTCCAAACAGAAATCATAGACAGAAGATTGCTTAGACTTTGAATAACTAACCTGAGGTGGTCGGTATTCGTATGACTCGAAGCTGTCTGCAGCAGTAAGGGCTGCCAGACCGAGGAGGATGAAGACCTGAAACACGGGATTTGTTGATACAATATATGAACTGAATTCTTACAGTAATGATTAGTTTAAAAATTATATTTATAGCCGTTAAATCCTAAGGTTCGCCTACCTTGGTATTCATTTTTGAGTAAGATTTCAGAGGCTACTGATACTTACCCCCTGAATGCTGAGCAATATATACCTCAGCAAACGTGGCGCAAGGTCATTCAAGGTCAACTTTTTTACATTTGTTACTAAAAGTGTGGGCGGGACTGAGTTGTGGGCAGGGGCATCGCATCAATGATTCATACACACGACACTTCCACGCACGAATGAACACAAACACGCTTACAAAGATAGTCACACACCTGTAAACATCATACGTGAATGTATGAATACACACACACACACACACACAAGCACAGTCACGCGTGGGCAACTTAGGGTTGGTTGCTTAACGAATATTTCAAGCACTGAATTGCATAATGCAATACCTCTGCTTCGGAAAAGTGATTGAAAGTTACTTACGATACAAGGACCAGTATATATGTACACATAGAAGGTACTATAAGACTGATATTAATATTAAATTACATTTTTTACACTATATTACATTATGGCACTATATGTGTGCCTGTTAGCTGTGTCATGACAAATAGCACATACTTAACAGGTTGAGCTTTGGATTAAAGTGCATTTGTAAGCACAACGCGGATTAAATTATATTTCGATTTACTGCAAAGTTGAATTAATATCAGAAGTTATGATATTGTGTGATTCTCTCGTGAAGATAGCGTTCCATTTTTTAAATAAAGATATACACTGCTTTTTGCTTTCCATCCAAATTAAAACATTATGTCAGAGGAACCATGAGTGTTACTTATTCTTCTTAATATATGAAAAGTTCCATCACTTCGACATAGAATATTTTTTTTGGATGGTAAAAAATAAATAGGAAAACGAGAGCATGGAAATGATTATGGCCATTAGTTTAAAAATGATATTTTTTGTGGTTTCTTCCTCCCCATGATATATATTTGATGTTTTGAATAGGTAGAAGTGGCAGCGATAATTATAACCAAAAATAATTAGAGGGAAGTAGGCAATATTAAAGAAGGTGATAACTATTAAAAAGCAGGATTTAAGCACCTCTAAATCTCTAATATATTTGATATTACCTCATAACATAACAAGCAATTAGACCACCACATGGGTATTAATTTTTAATTACTTTTTTGTAGGGATGGATCTCCCATCGCTCAATCTGAAACTTTTTCCTTTCTGTAAACCTGTGCATTTCTAATTGCATAACGCATACCTTATATTGTCTAGTGATATAACATATGTTATTGTTAAAGATATGTGCAGTTTGTCCCTATCAACTATTGCTCATTTCTTCATAAAGACTTTTTCTGAAATTATTTTTTTTCTCAGCATACTCTAATACAGTATGTGAACTATATATGTGTGCGTGCGTGCGTGCGTGTGTATGTGTGTGTAGAGATAGATACATGCAAAGATTCTGCAACAGATAATCAGAAGGATATACATCTAGATACATAGAGGTAGACAGAGAGAGAAACAGACATACAGCTAGATAGAGAGAGATGCAATAAAACATGTGATACTTTTGAGAAATAGAGATAAAGATGAAATTTAAGAGCGATTCTCCTAAACAAGTGAGAGAGAGAGAGAGAGAGTCGTATTGAAATTTGAATTTACAAAGCGCACTGTGCACATCTGTATTAGAAGGACACATAACTTATTAGTGTAATAACCTAAAAACTCCCTCACTAACATTCATCCATCACATATTTTGAACAAATCAAACTTGAAAGTCAAGTGCAAGGAGTTTTGCTCCTTAAACTTCAACCCCAAATTTCCATCCTGATACATTAAATAATTCTAACATCGCTTGAACTTTAGGACTGGAGTCAATCCTGAACAGATAAAAAGGACCAAAACATCCTATGACACAGGAGATACGAGATCCTTCGCGTTCTCGTCATTTTCCGAGAATGTGATAGAACCCTATGTGTCACGTAGTCTATAACAGACATATACTAAGTTATATAAGAGGATAAGGTTACAGTGTTCAATTTGCACTAGTATTGTTACATATGACAAAGCATCATAATTAGAATAAACTAATTTCTTACCGTTTCCTCGATGATTATTATTCTCATATACATTCGTTGTTCGAGGGTAATGCATGGTAACATTGTAGGCTTATTAGGAGCTAAGGTTCACGTAAAATATTCCCTATTTACTATTCATTTCCAGTCCTTGAATGCAAACGTTATATAGGTATGAAATAAATGGAACAAAACTTTTAAAATGCAGATTTAATAGATTCATTTATAAATATATAAATAAAAGGTCTTATAAAAGTCTTTATGTCATGAGGATCAGCTAAGTAATATGATTACTTAGACTCATTGGAGTCATAGAAATATCGTGGTCTATATTCGCGGGACTCGAAGGAAGCAGACTCGTAGGAGTCGGGGAATCGAGCTTCGCCATCGTAGTTGACCTCAGCCACGTAGCCGGAGTCGCCGTCCACGAAGTACTTGACGGTCTGGAGGCGGCCGTCGGGAAGGTGCACGTAGTAGGATCCCTGAGTGTGGTCGCCGTCACGGGCCTCCTGGTGTCCGTAGTTGTTGCCGGAGTCATCGTGATCGACAGCCCATTGGAAGTCGTACTTGGCTTCTCCGGATTCGTAGGATTCCTCGGAGGAGCGTCTCTGTTTTATAGTACGAAAGTGTTGTTCACTCATAGACATAAAAAGACAAATCTGTCAAAACATCAGCCACTGACAGAGGAATTTTAGACTTCAAATAACTTACATGTGGTGGTCTGTATTCGTAGGACTCGAAACTGTCTGCAGCGGCAATGGCTGCCAGACCGAGGAGGATGAAGACCTAAAATACGAGATATGTTGATGTGTGTATATAAATAGAAACAACATGATTTTGATGTATATTCATAAATATTCTTTCCTTTAAATATTCTGAACGTGAACGTTTATAAAGATAGAATTGAAGATAGAATTTAAAGTTCACTTACCTTGGTGTTCATGGTGGTGGATTTCAGAAGCTACTGATACTTTCCCCGTGAAAGCCGAGCATTATATACTTCAGCCTCGGCGCAAACGTGGCGCAAGGTCACTCAAGGGCATTTTTTTACAGGTGTTACCATGTCTGGGCGGGGCTGTATTGATGGTAGAAATATTGATATTCCTCATGTTTCAACTGAATTACAAGCACACACACATATACACACATGTCTAACACACCCGATCATGCGTACATTATACACACACTTGACCAGTCACAACACTCGCAAACAAATGTTCTGAACACAAATATAAACAACGTAAGTCAAACATTTATATAGACTTAAACATAAATACTCAAAGGGGCACACACAGTCGTTACTGCCGGATGAACATTACTATATGCAGTAATTAATTAGCACACACGGATAAATTGACTCATGCTTCCACACAATACCACTCACGCACACAGAAATACGTACACAGAATACATAAGTTTACACAGTACAGTCCGCATACGCATAGACACTCAAAGTCACGCACGCACAGTCGCACAATCACAACATAGGAATCCTTAATGAACATTTCTTTATGTAGGAAGCTTCGAACTGCATATCCTACTTGTGATATTTAAGTTACAATAAAATGTACATTACAGCAAAGGAGAAATAGAAAATGAGACGGGTTTCACTTTGTATTTTCAAATCAACAAGACGAGTTTCCGTTCTCTTCTGTCCTATAACTGTGGTTCTTTTACACGTGTACAACTTTTACCATATATTTTTTTTTTTCATATATGTATATGAAATGTAGAAAAAAATAAAGAGGGGGAAGCGGAGGGGGAGGGGATTGATTGATTATTTGAAATTATCTGCTACGTCAACAACTACGGTCAGTAACGGGGGATTTCTTTTTGGATTGAAATGTTAGAATACTTAAAACGTTAGTAATCTATCAATGATGTTTCATATATGAAAATATATAACAATTTGTTTATTCAAGATCATCAATATACTTCAAATGTATAAATTCAATCCATAAATATTATGCATAATTCAATTTGGTTAAAAATATTAGTCTCCTGTAGGAAAATAATAAAATTTTCCATGTCACACCCTCCCCCTACATTTTTCAGTGCATGTGGAGGAGATAAGTACATATTTCTTTGGTCCGAGAATGCTGCACATCTTTCCACTACAAGTGTGGCCGTTAATAGCACAATATGCTTCACTTTTACCCATCATCGGCCTATGAGTCAATCTTGTGTGCCCGATTCTCAGCCTTGACACAAATTCTACTTGTCGGTTGGGATTGACGCTGGTCACCCAACTGCCAAGGTCATCTCTAATCTCTTCGTTTCTAGAATCATGCATTCATTCATCGGCGAAGACAACTTCTGATGCTGGGTTTCAAATCGGTGGGTGGGAGAGGAAAACGGCTGAGCGGCAGCTGCCTTAGCCCTCCGATCAGCAAGCTCATTCCCAATGATACACCGCCACCCAACACAAAGTTATATTTTTACGTGTTGACATCAGTCTTGAACCTCCCTTACCACTATATGTTATGAGTTATTATGATTGCTTGCAAAGCACAGCGAGATTCGCAATATATTACAACAAAATGGTTCCTAAGATTTCTAAGGGGAGGGAATTATGTGGAGAACCATAAATATATTTTCTTTCAATCCTGTTTAGCTAACAGGCTTGTGGATGTGTCTATTACTAAAACATACGACCTATTAGTGAATATACGGTCCAGAGAATTAATCAGGTACACTACATTCTGTGTCCAGATATGCTAAATGAACTGAACCCCACCCCCTACTTTACAAGATCTGTTTTAGATGATAACGTCATATCTTTCGGGAGACATTTTGATCTCTTTTTGAATTTCATCGATGGTGTTAACCCATTCCCGCCGGGCATGCCATGCCATGGCCACTGTGAGATTACTTCTTAGATTGTTTTCACACATAGATGGCTACACTTGTACTAAATTACCAATGAGCCAGTTATGAGTACCGCCTGTCTCGCCCGTTCACCCTTTTCCTTGATTTACGAAATATTTTACGGTATCTTATTTTGCTGTTACTAATGTTAAAAAACATTATAAAAATTACAATGTTTATGATAAAAATAACACCATCGATATTCATGGCACTAGTGAAAAATACGTGTTTCAAATCAGGCGCTAACAGAGCCATCTATGGGCAGACATTTAACAAAACAGTATAGAAAATAGGCACAGCATTTTCCCCATTTTTTGTTCATTTTTCCCGGCGGCAATGGGTTAATATTAAACTTAATGAATCAAGTTGCAATCTAAACATATTACCAAATACAACTCATTGTTATATGAAAATGTGCGTTGAAAAGGAATGTAAGAATAGCAATGAGAAATAAACTTTACTGTTTTATGCTCTGCATCACGCATTAATACTCACTCGGGGCGCGAAACGCATACCAGAGTATTGATAGCGCAATCATTAGAGCAATTAATATCACGTTTGCCGTGAAGTTAGAAAATCACATGAACACACACATTCTTGATTCTGTATCAACTTTGATGTGCTTTTCTTAACACAAGCTGATTTTTATTTTTTAAAGCAAGGTTCATATAGGTTCTACTTCCAAGTTCCAAGTTCCAGCAGTCCTGGATAATTTACATTTGATTTTAAACTTGGAATTAGATTTTCTTCCGATGAGGTTGAATACTCAACCCTTTTATTCGGTTTTGATAATGGGTGTAATCGCATTTTATTTCTTTTCTATCATAGTACAACGGTTTGCTATAATGGGATCATACGTCACGTTACCACATCAGAGAGTCATAGGACTCTATGAAAATACATGAGGTTCATAACGAATTTATATATATATAATCATATCTACTATTCACTTCTAGTATTTGAATCGTGAATAATAGTATAGTTGTTGTAATCATATAATGTCAATGCATCAACATTTGTTGCAGAAAGTAGATTTATTAATTTTGTACATTAATATATAAATAAAATATCTTTGAAAAACTCATCTACAGAAGTTCGATCAAGCCAGACTCATTACTTTGACTCGTTGGCGTCATAGACGTATCGTGGCCTGTATTCACGGGACTCGAAGGAAGCAGACTCGTAGGAGTCGGGGAATCGAGCCTCGCTATCGTAGTTGACCTCAGCCACGTAGCTATATATATATATATATATAAATCACTGCAAGAGATGCAAGTGATTTGACTCTATTCCATCAAAAAAAAAAAAAAAAAAAAAAAAAATTACTGAAACATTCTATAATCTTCTCATTATTTATTAGAGAATAAGCATTCGTCATCATGGTGAGCTCTAAATGTAACAAAACTTGTTTCACATTGCAAATTTATTAATCTTGTACATAAATACATAAATAAAATGTGTCTGAGAAGCCTTCAGGTCCTGAGGTTCGATGATGTTTGAGTCCTTATTTAGACTCATTGGAGTCATAGAAGTATCGTGGCCTGTATTCGCGGGACTCGAAGGAAGCAGACTCGAAGGAAGCAGACTCGTATGAGTCGGGGAAACGAGCCTCGCCTTCGTAGTTGACCTCAGCCACGTAGCCGTCATCACCGTCCACGACGTATCTCACGGTCTGGAGGCGGCCGTCGGGGAGGTGCACGTAGTAGGATCCCTGAGTGTCTTCACCGTCACGGGCTTCCTGGTGTCCATAGTTGTTGCCGGAGTCTTCGTGATCGACAGCCCATTGGAAGTTGTATCTGGCTTCTCCGGATTCGTAGGATTCCTCAGAGGAACGACTCTGTTTAACAGATCGTATAAGATTTATTATTTGATATCATTTACCATAGCTTTAAGAATACACAGAATTGCTGAATATTAATAAGTGATAGCGACTTATTTAGACGTCAAATGACTAACCTGTGGTGGCCTGTATTCGTAGGACTCGAAGCTATCTGCAGCAGCAATGGCTGCCAGGCCGAGGAGGATGAAGACCTGGATACGAGGTTTGTTAATGAATATAACAGTGAGAGAACATAATTTAGGTATTAAATGATCAATATATTTCAAAGTGAATGTGAATCTTAGATGATAGATTTAAAGTTAGCTTACCTTGGTGTTCATGTTGATGTAGGACTTCAGAAGCTACTGATACTTGCCTCTTATAATCTGAGCAATATATACCTCTGCATCGGTGCGACGTGGCGCAAGGTCACTCAAGGTCAACGTTTTTACAAGCGTTACTACAACACTGGGCGGGGCTGAGACGAGGGTAGAAATATTGCAATTATATATTAATCAAAACCTTAGTACATAGGTACATATGTCTAGCACACCCGATCATATGCATGATCACACAAGACTACTTGCACAACACAAGCCGGAAATACATGCATGCATGTAAACACTCAAAGACACACTACACATTTCTTTCTGAAGTAAACACCAATAGTCATTAGCACAGATAGGGAGATAGATACAATCTTTATGGCTACACTGGTATACGATGACTGATTATAAGGGAAAGGAATTATATATATGTATTTGTGTGTGTGTATATATACATGTGTATTTGAATTACTCTATAATACGTAGAACAGTCCATAAAGTTATACAATGATTTACATTACAATTCATTAAAACATGATAATAAAGTCGTTAAGGCAATATAATAAATCACTTTTAAAACGTCATTAGCAACTGGCATCGTATCCATACACAAACACAAACAATAAGACGCTAACACAAAATAAGGGAAAGTCAAATCAAATGAAAATAAACCTAAATCACATAACCAGTAGTAACATAGTAAAAAAGTGTTAAAATGTAAATCTAAGTTATGCGTACACCAATAGGATTTCGTGCGTAAAATTCGCTGCATCATCAGAATCATTATTAATCATTGTCAGATATTAATTTGGTTCGAGTCTCGCAGTGGCTTTGTGAAGGAACACGCCTATACCACGTGCAGCTCCATATACACGTCGCCCCACGGGAACAACCGTTCTGCCAGGGGAAGGTACCCTTGACCTTGACATTCTGCATTTCATTGCTATGGTTTCTCGCATAGTAAAGTTAATATTTAAGGATGCATATATCTGTGTGATTAGAATTTTGCTACTGACTGCTTCACTTGTCCCATTGCTAAACCAATGCCATAAGTGTTGTCAGAATTTTTTTTTTTTTTTTTTTTTTAAGGTAGTGGGTGTTTGATGCCAAAACGTGTATTACTATCATCAACATCCACCTCCGCTCGTTTCAATTTCTTCATAAATAAATGCGGCTACTAAAAGCACACACACATATATTTCTTTTCTAACATGGAACTTGGTATCTACATTCCTTTTAACAAACCAAACAAAGTAACACATCTTTTGTGCATATGCAACAGTAGAGGATACTGACTCTTCACAAGTGAACACACTTCCGATGTATGAATGTCTGCCGCGCCACTACACCGTCATCCCATCCACATGAAAAGGTTTGCATTCATTAACATCCGAGTTAACTGCAAATATGTCTTTTTAAGTGACTATTATCTGGATTCTTCCTCGCATGGGCACACACGCGCGTAATGGTAACATATGACTGTTTAACGAACGTGATAGTATTCAGTAATTACCTACATATGGATGGCAGTGTGCAGTAAATACCGAAATATATAATCTAGTATTCATGTTATGTTTATGTTATGTGCTTGAGACAGACATCCAACTTACAAAAAATAATAAAAAATTCACGTGTTTTAATCTACGACCTAATATTCTTATCCAATGACTTCGTTTTTATCGGCGATCCTTCAAAAAGACATTAATTTCCTTACATCTCATATAATACTTCAGATATCTTGCATATTTTCTTGTGCTGGCAAGAGACAAACTTTGAATATGTTATAATTGTCCAGTTTCTCATTTGGAATGTAGGGTAATATATCTATTTGGGGGGTTAAATGCGTATCTTCTATATCATTTTATTTTTTGCAGTGGAAGAATGGCCGCATTATATGTTTATATATATATAAATCACTGCAAGAGATGCAAGTGATTTGACTCTATTCCATCAAAAAAAAAAAAAAAAAAAAAAAAAAACTGAAACATTCTATAATTTTCTCATTATTTATTAGAGAATAAGCATTCGTCATCATGGTGAGCTCTAAATGTAACAAAACTTGTTTCACTTTGCAAATTTATTAATTTTGTACATAAATACATAAATAAAATGTGTCTGAGAAGCCTTCAGGTCCTGAGGTTCGATGATGTTTGAGTCCTTATTTAGACTCATTGGAGTCATAGAAGTATCGTGGCCTGTATTCGCGGGACTCGAAGGAAGCAGACTCGAAGGAAGCAGACTCGTAGGAGTCGGGGAAACGAGCCTCGCCTTCGTAGTTGACCTCAGCCACGTAGCCGGAGTCGCCGTCCACGAAGTACTTGACGGTCTGGAGGCGGCCGTCGGGGAGGTGCACGTAGTAGGATCCCTGAGTGTCTTCACCGTCACGGGCTTCCTGGTGTCCGTAGTTGTTGCCGGAGTCTTCGTGATCGACAGCCCATTGGAAGTTGTATCTGGCTTCTCCGGACTCGTAGGATTCCTCAGAGGAACGACTCTGTTTAACAGACCGTATAAGATTTATTCATTGATATCATTTACCATAGCTTCAAAAATACAGAGAATTGTTGAATTTTAATAAGTCATAGCTAATTATTTAGACGTCAAATGACTAACCTGTGGTGGCCTGTATTCGTAGGACTCGAAGCTATCTGCAGCAGCAATGGCTGCCAGACCGAGGAGGATGAAGACCTGGATACGAGTTTTGTTAATAAATATATAAGCGAAAGAACATAATTTAGGTATTCGATCATGAATATATTTCAAAGTGAATGTGAACCTTAGATGATAATCTTTAAAGTTCGTTTACCTTGGTGTTCATGTTGATGTAGGACTTCAGAAGCTACTGATACTTGCCTCTTAGAAGCTGAGCAATATATACCTCTGCATCGGTGCAACGTGGCGCAAGGTCACTCAAGGTCAACGTTTTTACAGTTATAGCGTTACTATAACTGGGCGGGGCTGCGACGATGATAGAAATATAGCAAATTATTTTATATCGGTTGAATCATTTGTTCATAGATGAAAACACGTGCGCGCGTGCACAACACATTAATTTCGAAAGTAAACACCAAAAGTCACGAGCACAAATAGGAAGATAGATAAATAAATTACGATTACAAATGCATAGGGATACGTTGACTGATTATACATGGAAACATATTAAATATATATTTGAATTACTGTACAATACGCAAAGCAGTTAATAAGGTTATCATACAATAATTTACATTACAGTTTATTAAATCATGACAATAAAGTCGTTAAAGCAATATAGTAAATAACTTTTAAAACAACATTAACTAGCAACGTGTCCATGCATAAACCTAAAAGACAATACGCTAAAACAAAAGAAAAATGCAAAATCAGATCAAATATAAGTAAAATCACACATAGTAAGACAGTAAGAAAATATAAATCTAATAGTCATGCGTACACTGATAGGATTTCGTGTGTATTCGTTGCATCATCAGAATCGCTAGCAAATATAGTCAGATATTGATATGGTTCGAGTCTCACGGTGGCTTTGTGAAGGGACACGCCTATACCACGTGCAGCTCCGATTGCAATTCGCTCCACGAGGACAACCGCTGTGTTAATCAAGGTGTTCTTGACCTTGCTAATAAAAGACATTCTGTATTTCATTGCTATAATTTCTCGTACAGTAAAGCTAATATCTAAGTGTCTATATATGTATATATGTATATGTACTTCTTTATCTATCTATTTATGTATATATGTATATAAATGTATATGTATATATTTTTATTTCTCTTTTTTTTCTGGTGTGGAATTGGGTATCAACATTCCTTTTAACAAACGAAACAAAGTACATATCTTGTTTTGTATATAAGCAACAGCGGATGATACCGATTCATCATGTTCGACTGTTTAACGAACGGGACAGTATTCAGTAAATACCGAACTACATAATCTAATATTTTCTGTTCGGTATGAGACAGACAACAGAAAATCTGCATCGGATTAAAAAAAAAAAAAAAAAAAAAAAAAACTATTTAACGAAGAGAAAGTACATCAATGAACAGGGTTCTAACTTTAAATATGTTCTAATTGTCCTGTATACTTTCTCATTCGGAATGTAGAGAAATAGATTTTCTTCTTAGGAAGATTAAATGCATAATCTTCTATTTTATTCCTTCTTTTTTTCAGTGGAAGAAAGATTGCATTTTTATTTTTTATTTTTTTCTAATTTAATCGTGTGTATCAACGGTTTCTTATTTAGAGTCATTGTCTGCAGCTAATGCACATGGCTTACTTCTACTTCATTACGCAAAAACATATGTTATTAAAGCATTGCATGATCTACTGATTACTCTTTCTAAGGGAATGGGCATACGTTTTCATGGTATGCTGTAAATATAACAAAACTTGTTTCATATTACAAATTTATTAATTTATACATAAATATATAAATATAATGTCTGAAAAGCCTTCATGTCCTGAGGTTCGATCCTTACTTAGACTCATTGGAGTCATAGAAGTATCGTGGCCTGTATTCGCGGGACTCGAAGGAAGCAGACTCGAAGGAAGCTGACTCGTATGAGTCGGGGAAACGAGCCTCGCCTTCGTAGTTGACTTCAGCCACGTAGCCGTCATCACCGTCCACGACGTATCTCACGGTCTGGAGGCGGCCGTCGGGGAGGTGCACGTAGTAGGATCCCTGAGTGTCTTCACCGTCACGGGCTTCCTGGTGTCCATAGTTGTTGCCGGAGTCTTCGTGATCGACAGCCCATTGGAAGTTGTATCTGGCTTCTCCGGATTCGTAGGATTCCTCAGAGGAACGACTCTGTTTAACAGACCGTATAAGATTTATTCTTTGATATCATTTACCATAGCTTTAAGAATACACAGAATTGCTGAATTTTAATAAGTGATAGCGACTTATTTAGACGTCAAATGACTAACCTGTGGTGGCCTGTATTCGTAGGACTCGAAGCTATCTGCAGCAGCAATGGCTGCCAGGCCGAGGAGGATGAAGACCTGGATACGAGTTTTGTTAATGAATATATAAGTGA